GTTTAGTTTACACTCGAAGTGGATTGGTCTCTCTAAGCGAGATCCCAATTCATCGGTCATCCAACCGACTAAAAGGAAAGACAGAATTTACCTCAAGAAGACGCACTGAGAGGAATAAGACAGAATTTACCTCAAGAAGACACGCTGAGAGGAATAAGCTTTGGATTTTCTTAAAAAGAACGCGGCGGCTTGATCCAGCGGAGATCATTTAAATGAGTAAGTCTTTTTTATTAACCCTCTGGTTGTGTTCGGATTCCGGTCACACTTGTGGTGTTCCCGGTCAAAAATGACCGGACTCTAAACAATTGCTTATAAATCTCTCATTATGCTATATTATCACCAAATATTGGATTCAATGTTTTTGTCAAGTTGTTTTCTTTCATTTAGGACTAGTTTTGTGTTTCTATTTGCATCTGATTAATCGTAGGCCTCATTAATCTGAGAGTAGGTACCTTGTTTCTTGAGTGAAAAATTCATTTTATATTAATAATTTTCACAATATTAAACAAATTATAAAAATGTGCACTGTTTATCACACTAGTGTGCTTGAATGTTTAATCAGGAAGTTTGCTTTTAAATGCTTTTATTTTGTACAAAATTGCAAAAAGTCACACTTGTGGTGTTCCCGGTCAAAAATGACCAGACTCCAAACAATTGCTTATAAATCTCTCATTATGCTATATTATCACCAAATATTGGAATCAATCTTTTTGTCAACTTGTTTTCTTTCATTTAGGACTGGTTTTGTGTTTCTATTTGTATCTGAGAGTAGGTACCTCATTTTTTGAGTGAAAAAAGTATTTTTTATGAATAATTTAGATTTAAAAATTATTAAAATTTGCACTGTTTCTCACACTAGTGTGCTTTAATGTTTAATCGGGAAGTGCTTTAATGTTTAATCAGGAAGTTTGCTTTTAAATGCTTTAATTTTGTACAAAATTGCACAAAGTCACACTTGTCAAAAATGGAATATGTTGGCCAATCAGAAGCGTTCATTCTGAGAGTGCTTAAAGTCCCCATGAAATCAAAATCGAATTTTTTTGGCTTTTGGTATGAATATGTTAGGCTTAAGATTATCTATAAGCTAGTGTGCTCCAAATCGGTCACTTGTTCACAGGATTTGTAGTCAAAATATGCTTTCTGTTAGGGCGAATGAAGTCTGGTTTCGCGTTGTGTCACGCTAACTGCCGCACCGCGCACACAGTCTGCTCCGGTCCACAGACATGATACATGGAGCGGATAATTTGCACAAGTCGGCACAGACCATAAAACTTAACGGACCCATTTGAATTCTATGTAGAATGCTATATTTTATAGCAATATGAGATTGTGGCTGTCATTTGCTGTCAAATGCGAATTTACTGAGCTCAGCGGCTCTGGTTCAAACTGTAACTGTGATATCAACGAAACGCTATTGGCCATTTTAAAAAGGGGGCGGGACTGCTTGATATGTCAAGAACACAGAACAACGCTGCGTGTTTCAAAGCACTTCAGTGGACCTTTAAACTCGTACTAGATTGAAAGTACTTGTACACATGTTCTGCATGACCATATTCTACATCCTTAATCCTACCCAATAACAAACTTAACAACTACCTTACTAACTATTAATAAGCAGTAACTAGGCGTTTATTGAGGCAAAAGTTGTAGTTAATAGTTAAGTGAGAACTGGACTTTAAAATAAAGTGTGACCCAATACGCTACCATATCTATAAATAATGAGTTTAGATGACATGAAACTACAGACGACATATGACATGAAAAAAAAAGTCAACCATAAATGGGGTAGTTTTGGCTCTGTTGCTGACATGTCCCCACCAATGTGAAAATCAAACCTACGCCCTTGCTTGAAGGTGTGGAAGTATGACATGAAACTACAGACGACATATGACATGAAAAAAAAAGTCAACCATAAATGGGGTAGTTTTGGCTCTGTTGCTGACATGTCCCCACCAATGTCAAAATCAAACCTACGCCCTTGCTTGAAGGTGTGGAAGTAGAGTGTCACACTTAGATATGTGGTGCTTTTTGGACTTATGCGCTGAACCTAAAATACTCAAATGACCTCAAGTGCACATTTGAAGCATTTCAGAAAATCCTGTTGGAACTGGATACAACCAAGCTGCCACCAAAGCACTCCAAGCATTGAAAATTAAGATGCTTCAGTGATTAAGTAATTGACAGATACACTGATATCAAAGCAATTGGGTTGATACAGTATGTTGCAAATTTTTGTATTTGAGTAACTAAAAAAAATATATATTAAAGTCGAAGATTTAGATGATTTTTTATTTTTATCTTTTTATAATTATTAGTTGTTTTTTTTTGCACTGTAGAATGTCCCTTTTATACTTGTGTACTGCTAACATGTAATATATAACATATGTAACATATAACATATATCCATGCATACAGTAGTCAACATTTGAAGTGGATCAAAACCTTCCACTTCAAATGTTGACTACTGTATAACATATGCATGGAAAGTGTGTTGGTGCAACCACTGGCTATCTACCTCCAAATGCCTTGAACTATTAATAATTTGATAAAATGTAAAACAACGTTCTATGGTTGTTCTTTTTTGTGTGTTGTAGTTAGACTTTGTTGTGATTGGAAAGGGGAATAAAATAAAAATAAATTTATAAACATGATTTTAAAATATGTTGGGTTTGTTAATAGACATTATTTAAATATGGTGCATTTTAAGTAATTTGGGTTTATTACATTATAACACAATCCTTTTTCTTATGAATTTTAAACAAATTGGATTTATTGGTACTATTACATAGATCTCATTCTTTCTTGTTTCGTTTATATATGATTAGCAAAAATTCGTCACAAAGTTTAGTTTGTTTATGTTAAAAATATGTAATCCAAATGGATGGGAATTTTATATGCAATCAAAATACATAAACCTTAAGTATTGGGCCTAATTTATTTATTTTTTTATCCTTTTTTTCCTGAGTGTATATAATGCTACTTTTTGTGTTTATTGGCTGTATTTATTATTATTAATCTAAGCATTGAGTCCACTTTATTGGAACGGTGATTTAAAATTTATTTTACAATATTTTTTTTATATATATATAT